ATTCTGTGAAGTCAGGATGATCTTTTTCGTTTTGATACTTTAGCTCTTCCTCACTTATTCTCTGCTGAAAAGTTTTCAGTTGAAGGACAAAGTGTTGGACTGACTTTTTTTTTTTTTGTATCAGGGATCAAACTCAGGACCTTGAGCTTGCAAGGCATGTGCACTGCCACTGAGCTAAATCTCTAGCCCCTTGGACTGACTTTTATGGGTCTCACCTTAAAGATTTGAATTTCATGGTTATGTTAAAAAAATTTTTTTTTAAATTTTGGAGACAGTCTCCCTTTGTAGTTCAGGCTGGCCTTGAATTCTCTATGTAATCTAGGCTTTCCCTGAACTCATGGTGATCCTCCTGCCTCAGTCAGCTGAGTGCTGTTATTATAGGCAAGCACCACCATTGTCGCTAACAGGTGGCTTCTTAATTGTCAGGTTGGCACCCATTGCAATTGATACTCTACCTGTATAAGTAAGTGCACATATAACTGATATATGGTGAGAAAATGTTCTTAGCAGTTGTTGAAAGAGACCCACAGCAATAATAATTGATAAAGACAATAAAATTGAAATGTTTTTTGTCTAGAATTTCACTGTCAAGAAGAAACATTTAATTTATAGTAAATGAATAGAGGGGGATTTTTGGGGGGAGGCTTTTCTGGAATGTCATTTAAACATTACTGAATTTAAGTCTGATAATTATTTCCTTCAGTTTCATGTTATTTAGTAGTTTTTATAAATTTATTCATAACAACACATTGTACTTATTTGGCCAGTGTTCTGTTCCTTTAAAGTTTCCTTTATAAATTTAATTTTCCATAGGCATAATTGACTAGGAGGTCAAAGGAAAGATTGGGGTACAGAATCCTTAACCCTGTTTCCTGAGTATGATCTGAAGATACCCTTGAATGAGGTGTTTTCTTTCTGACCACCGGCAGGTGGCAGCACTGGCATGGAATGACTAGGTTTTGCCCAAAATCACAGGGATGGGAAGTATTGAGAAGCTGCCTCTTTTTTCCCCTCTAGTAGAGAGGCTTTTGTAAAGTGGATGTTTATAAGGCACAGAGTAAAGCACAGGTAAAACTAAATACTCTTTATCTCATCTGATATTTTTTTTAATGCCTGTAGTTCCTTCAGAAACAGGTAATATTTTTCTAGCATTCAACTTTGGGTTTTTTTTGTTTTTTGTTTTTTGTTTTTTTTGGTTTTTTGAGACTGGGTCTCACTATGTAGTTGAGACTGACCTGGAACTCACTATGTAGCCCAGGCTGTTCTCAAACTCACAGCGATCCTCCTGCCTCAGACTCCGGAGTGCTGGGATTACAGGAGTGTGCCACCATGCCCAGCTCTCACTTTGTATTCTTGCTTCTCCCTCTTGTAATGCTTTTGTTTCTCACCGTAGAGGATAATGAAAAATTAATATGCTGTGACTTTTAGCATGAATATTAGCCTGCATGCAAATTCCCACAATTATGATTAGAATGTTAGCCAGTTCTTGGATTTTGCAGGAATCCTGGTTACAGCATTGTGCTATTTAATACCAACAGTGGCTTAAAGAAAATCTGAATGTAGCTGTTAATAAAATGTCTATGATTTAAGATTGTAAAATAAATCAGAATTTATAGTAGTGGATATTGGTGAAAGTATTAATGGAACCTCCAGATTTTGCTTCCTTCTGGCTCATGGTACTTTTGAGGTCCTGAAATAAGATACTGTACTTTTATGGCCAGGTTTTCTTTAGCAACCTGATATTGTCACCTCATTTTGTGTTGATGTTCCATTCTTGTTTATCTTTTCCGTAAACCTTCTATTTGTCTTTAAAAAGGTATCTACTTTTGGAGAGAGTTTAAGAATCAAGGAATATTATTCCTTATAGGATAATATTTTTGCATTTTACTTTATTTCTGCTTCGGAAGAAAACTATACTGCTAAGTTAAAACTAAATAGTTTATTCGTTTATAAGACTGATAGTATAAACAAAAGATTTAAGATAAAAGTGTAGTGTTGAAAAAATAGGTCACTTAATAATGGTCTCTCAGTACAACCAAAATTGTTTGTTTATTTATTTATTTATTTAGGTTTTTTGAGACAGGGTCTCACTACGTAGTTGAGACTGACCTGGAACTCACTATGTAGCCCAGGCTGGTCTGGAAGTCACAGCGATCCTCCTGCCTCAGCCTCCCAAGTTCTGGGATTACAGGTGTGTGCTACCACGCCTGGCTTGTACAACCAAAATTGTGGTCAGCTGAATAAAGCTTGATTCAGTGAAGTTTTAGACTCTTACTTTGCTTTTTGCATTGCCTCTCATTTGGGGATTCTTTTTTGCTGTTTAGAATCATATAATTAAAATGTTTTATTTTGTACTTTTGGATTGTTTGATTTGAGAATAGTTTGGCTTAGTCCCCAGTCTTTTCTGAATACTTTCTTACATATACACATACACTGTATATGTTTTTACACACACTGCCCCCCACATCCCATGAGAAAAAAGTCCATTTTGGTTCTATAAAACTTCCTAATTACTTTGAGCTTTAATTTCTTTTAATTTGGCGGAGGAGTATTGGTGATCGAACTCAGGACCTCATGCTTGCCAGGCAGGCACTGTGCCACTGAGCTATATGCCCCAGCCCTTTAATTACTTTAATAGAGAGCCAGGCGTGGTGGTGCACACCTGTAATCCCAGCACTCGGGAGACTGAGGCAGAAGGATTGCTGTGAGTTCGAGACCAGCCTGGACTACATAGTGAGTTCCAGGTCAGTCTCAACTACATAGTGAGAACCCTGTCTCAAAAAACCGAACCAAACCAAACCAAACAAAACAAAATTACCTCAATAAAAAGTTTTATCTTTTTATATATACTAAGTTTTTGTCAAAATGTTTTATTCATATAAGTATATAGTTTTCTGGAACTAGTATGATCAGAACTTTAGCAGGATTTTATGTATAAATTAATAATTCTTTTGCTTCTCACAGTTCACAGAACTGGTTTCAGATTCCTATAGTTTATTTTTTTTTCCCTTCATTTGTGAAAAAAAATTCCACAATCCTAATGTAAGTTTTTATTTGATGCTTTCTTAGAACACTTCATATTCTTGAAAAATACACATGAATACCAAGAACTACATAAGTAGGGCCTGACAGAGGCTAGTATAAAATAAAGCTAAAGTTTTGGGGCCATAGATGGCTTCCAGAAGAAGATGGTGTGTTGAGAAGACAGAATCAGTTTCTTAGAATCTCTAGCTTTTCCAGAGTGGGACTGTCTTCTGGTGTGTGCTCTATCCCAACCCAGCTAGGGCTGGCTACTCTGGAGAGCTCCCTGTCTGTGCTCTTGGCTTTTATAATTGCTAGCAGTGAGCACAGTTTCTGGTGGAGCTAATGCTTTTGTTCTCTAAGGTGATCCATATATAGCCATGCTCACCCACCCCACTTTGGGATGAAAGGCAGTTAGAGTTAGCTAGCCTGCTATGCCCTGCCTAAATTCACCTGCTCAGATTTATTTATTTCCCTCCGCTTCTGTTCCTCCCTTCCTGCCTGTCTCCCTTCTTTTCTTACATCTTCTCTTCCTCTCTTTCCTTTTTTCTTTTCTTTTTTGGCAGTCCTGGGGATTGAACTCAGGGCTTTTGCACTGGACTACATCACTGGCCTTTTAAAATTTTTTTATTTTGAGACAAGGGCTCACCAAGTTACTGAGTTGCCCAGGTATGGCTCAAATTTGTACTTCTCCTGCTTCATCCTCCCAGAGTTCTGTGATTACTTGTGTACACCACCAAGCCCAGCTTGCCTGATCAAATTTCTTTGATATCACCTTTACAATTAGGAAGATAATGACAGTTACAGAAACAAGGTCAAAGGGCCGGAGATTTAGCTCAGTGGTTCTGCTGTCTGCCTTGCAAGTGCAAAGACCCAAGTACAATCCTCGGTACCAAAAAAAAGAAACAAGGCCAAATTAAAAAAAAGAAAACTCTAGAATTGTGTGCTTCATTTAGACTGAGTCTTCCTTTTTCCTCTTTGTGGCAACTTGCAATTAGGGGCAGGGCACAATGGTTGGGAGCCTTTAGTACTCTGCAGCAGAGCCAGAATAGAAGTATTTCTCTTTAGTCAGGGGTAGGTTCCAACCTGTGGATCTAGGTTTTTAAGTGTAACCCTCTAGCTGCAAAGCAATGCCTTATGCTATTTAGCTGTTTAACTGGGTACTAACCCCCAATTAGAGAAAGTTTCCTTTTCCAGAGAGCAGTGTACTCAGGACATACAGGTGCCACGTTGCTCTCACATTAGTAGTCGATGACAACACAAATAAATGAGAACGTGTTAAAGGTAGGTCTGTCCACCTGAACCTTCTGGGGATAGGTAATGTTGCAGGGCCTGAACTTCTTTCTGTGAAGGTAAAGCTTACTCAGAATGGTGTCATTTACTGTTGGCCAGAGTGTATTTAGATACTGACCCCCTGGATTTAAAAAGTTATCTGCATATATTTAACTGTATGTGCTGTGATGTTATATCTAATCAGTAGAAATCTTCTGGGTCACTTCGGAAACAAACATTTATGTTTTTGTTTTTTGTTTTTTTTTTTTTTGGTACCGGGGATTGAACTCGGGTCCTTGCACTTGCAAGGCAAGCCACTGAACCCCGGCCCACAAACATTTATCTTTAACATGATGAATTATGTGAGTATATTAAATATATGTCATGGATTAAAATTATGAGAAAAAACCAGGCATGTACACTCCTGTAATCCCAGCACTCAGGAGGCTGAGGCATGAGGATCACTGAGAGTTGAGGGCAGCCTGGGCTACATAGTGAGCTCAAGGCAAGCCTGAACTACAAAGCAAGACTTGGTCTCAAAAAAACAACAAAAAAAACCACCTCTTACTAACAATTATCTATGATGCCATTTAACAGAATGTTTGAAAGGCTATCAAAAATTCATTTCCTGTAATTTTAAAAACATATGTTTTTGTTGATGATTAATATTTGGTTGTATGATTTTTCAACCAAAATCATTTTTGCAGATGCTTTTACTGACTCAGCTATCAGTGCTAAAGTGAATGGTGAACACAAGGAGAAGGACCTGGAGCCCTGGGATGCCGGGGAACTCACAGCCAGTGAAGAGCTAGAGGCTTTGGAAAACGATGTTGTAAGTGTTAGCTTGGAGTGGTTAGCAGACGTGGGTCATTGTGGTGCAAACTGGATGTCCTCTCATTTGGTTTTAATCTAAGTGTGTGTTTGTTGTTTTAGTGAATGTATTTAGAGCAGCATCTGTGCAGATGGAGCCTTTATCTCAGGAAATAAAGAAAAATGTTCTCTCATTTTACTTGTGAGGGCTAAGCAGGAATGTGATCTGTCCTTGTGTCCATAAATTATTTGCATGTGGTTAAATGACAGTAAGCCGTTTACAGATTGAAACAGAAACCCTGAGAATGGCCAGTGTGTTTAGCTTTGAATGCCTTGGAGAATAACTCTAAGGAGGGTGGGGTTTTGTCACTTGACTTTACCTAGAGAGAATGTGGACATTGTGCATTTTAGGCTTCTTAGCTGAAAAAGAGAAGATATGTGATTTGGTTGCACTAGGATTAAATAATTTTGTAATTTTCTTGGCCTTAAATTGGAATCATTTTCGATAAGAACATATTTTTCAAAATGCCTTGCTACGTATTATTTTTGCTTTTACCCTGACACATCATCTGCAAGTCAAATGCTTGGTAGACTATTTTTAGGATAGAGAGCACAGAGATGTAAAGTCTTGCCAAAAAAGTGTATTTAGATCACAGAATCGGAATTGAATAAAGAACCTTGCATTGAGAACAGAGAAGTCTATGTTCAGTGTTTAAAGAATAATTTAGTAATTTGTACTTTCTCAGACCTTACCTCTAGTTATAAAATGAGAAATTCATACATAGCATATCATTTAATTAAAAAAAAATTTTTTTTGGGGTGCTAGGAATCACACTCAGGACCTTGCATTTGTGAAGCAGTTGGTGGAACCACTGAGCTAAATCCCTGCCCTAATTTCAAATTTTAAAGAATCATTGTTCTTCGGCCTTTTGGCAAAGATCAAGTGTAAATTTCCTTTGGTACCAGGAATTGCACTCAGGACCTTATGCTTGCAAGGCAAGCGCAATGCCACTGAACTAAATCCCCAGCCCAAGTGTAAAATTTTTTTTTTTTTTTTTTTTTTTTTAATACCAGGAACTCAGGCCACCTTGAGAGGCAGGTGGCAGAAGCACTGAGCCAAATCCCTGGCCCCAAGTATAAATTTTAAAGAATCCTGTGGAACAGGCATAGTGGCACATGCTGGTAATCCCAGCACTGAGGCAGGAAGGTGGTTGTGAGTTCAAGGCCAGCCCAGACTACATAGCGAGAGCCTGTCTCAGCCCCCAGTCATGTAGAACCTAATATAATTGTTCTCAAGGGTGTATCACGTCATTTATCTTAAGGAAGATGGGAAATGAGCGCCACCTTTTACCTTATTTGTGAGGTGTAGATGATTTGAGACTTTCTGGGATGAATTGAGCAGTGTTTATAAAAATTTTAAATGCACTTAGAATTTGTTCCAGCAATTTTACTTCTAAGAATTTATTTATTTATTTATTTATTTATTTATTTATTTATTTATTTATTTATTTATTTTTGAGGGGGTACCAGCGATCAAACTTGGGTCCTTGTGTTGCAAAGCAGGTGGTGGAACCACTGAGCTAAATCTCTGGCTCTAAGAATTTATTTTTTATGCCAACATATCTTAATTCCTGCAAATAATTATATATGAGGATTTTTTTTTTTTTTGTAGTGTTATTTCACTAGTTAGGTGTCTGACAGTACAGCATGAACTAAATAGATGTATGGTGCTGCTATTCAGTAGAAATTCTGTATTATCTACTGAAAGAGTGGTGTTCCAATATGAAATAATTCAAGATTTATTAGAAGAAAAAAACAAGTTATAGAACAGTAGGTCTGATAGGAATATTTTTAAAAAGGAAGTGAGGTGCCATGATGCTGCTTGTGATAATATACTAGCACTTGGTAGGCTGAAGCAGGAGGGGTGCAAGTTCAAGGCCATGCTGCACTACATAATCTAGAATCACACTGAGGAAACTGTTGATAATAGCCATGTGTGTGCACTGGGATTGGAATAGCTTTACTTTGTATTAGATATCTTTTTATCTGATTTAGATTTTTGTATGTTTGTTTTGAGACAGGGTCTCACTGTGTAGTTGATACTGACCTGGAACTCACTATGTAGTCCAGGCTGGTCTCGAACTCACAGTGATCCTCCTGCCTCAGCCTCCCGAGTGCTGCGATTACTGGTGTGGGCGATCATGCCCAGCCAGATTTAGATTTTTTACGTAGCGCATACATTGCTCAGATAATTTTGGTCTCCATTGCTGATTGTGATTTCCTCCGTGCATATGTTAAGTTAAAGGATTAACTTTTGTAATAAAGTTAGAAAGGCAGGTCTTACCAGAACCAATACAGGAGGACCCAGAGTTAATGGGTGAACTCTAATGAAAGCTTGTGTGTTGCCATTGCTGTTTGCATTGCTTACATGATGTTGGGCTCACTCCTTGATACATACAGGGACTGTGTCCTCACCACCTATCCAGTCTGGCTTTGAAAGAGGTGAATCAATAGATAAGTCATTAACCAGGCATTAATATTTGCCCAAGAAGATTATTTATTATTTGCCCCAATTAGTTGATTGTTACGAATTAAAGAGTGCAGCCTGCTGAGTATGGTGACACATGCCTGTAATCCTAGCACTCCTAGAGGCTAAGGGAGGAGGATCACAAGTTCTAGCCCAAACTGGGCAATTTAATGGCTTAACAAGATCTTGTCAATATTTCTTTTAAAAAAATTAATTTGTAAAAAAGAGCTGAAAATACAGGTCAGTGCAGAGGTCCTTGCACCCCAATCCCCAGTACCATAAGAGAAAAGATAAATAAATAAATGAAAGCGTGTAGCTTAGCTTTAGAGAGTGATAGTTTTTTGTAGTTCCATTATAGAAATGAAGTTATTTGCTGTGACTGTAACTTAGGATGCTGACATCCAGAATTGCTGAGGCCCCACAACTGCTAATGGTAAAATCAGTTCTAAAATCCAGCCCTTGTGATTTGTTCCACTGATTATTACTTCATGCTGCCTCATCTTTCCAGCATTCCTAGGAGGAAGGGAAGGGTAGCGTCTGGTATTATGGTGTCCCTTTGAAGTAATGATTCAGTGGGGAAGCTTCTCCCTTCTTTCCCCTAAAAGTTGGGAATATTCTTGACTGTTAGAAGGCACCTCCTCCCTTTCATAGACCAAATGATGGTGATCTCAAGAAGGTTCCAGGTAACATAGAGCTGTCTCTGCTGAGGGTAAGGAAGAGAACCCTTATGCCAAGGCGCAACTTTATGAAGTAACTAAAATGTAAGCTTTTCTAAGTAACGTCAAGTCTGATTGTGTTGTATATTTACTTACTAATTTGAGGGACTGATATGGAAAAGAAAAATATTCCTTAAACAATTTTTAAAGGACATCTCTGATCATTTTAATTTGTTAGATATTAGTATAGTTTGTTAGCAATTGCTATTGTAAATATTGATTGTAACTGAATTAAGGAAGACAAATACTTGGTCATTTTGAAAAATGAGCTTCATTTTCTTCTAGTCTAATGGATGGGATCCCAATGATATGTTTCGATATAATGAAGAAAATTATGGTGTAGTATCTACGTATGATAGCAGTTTATCTTCATATACGTAAGTTTTAAAAGTTTGTTTTTATTTAAGTTCATCTGTCTTTGATTTTTATCAACTTATATGATGTTGAATAAATGTTTCTACTAGGTTTTTAAGTTATACAATTATATAAAGAATTGTTCTGAAGCTGGGTATGGGGGCGCATGCCTGTAATCCTGCTGAGGCAGGAGGATCGCTGTGAGATCAAGACCAGCCTGGGCTACATAGTGAGTTCCAGGTCAGTCTCAACTACATAGTGAGACCCTGTCTCAAAAAAACCAAAAAAAAAAAGAAAGAAAAGAAAAAAAAAAAGAATTGTTCTGTTACTATTTAGGGTGGTAAATGCCTATTAAGGTGAATGTTTCCTCATACCTCATTTTTGTGCTCGAAAGAAATTTTGTTTTTAAATTGCAGAAAATTAACTTTGCAAGGTTATGGTGAACTGTTTAACGTGTGTTTGAAATGTTAAATGTTCTTCCATGTAAAAGGAATCTGAAAAATTCAGATTTTGATTTATAAACTGAGCACAGTAACTTTGACAGTTTTTCCTATATTCTACACCCTAAACTTTCTTAATAGTTGATTTTTTTTCTTTATTTTTTTTTGGTGCCAGGGATTGAGCTTGGGTCCTTGCACTTGCAAGGCAGGTGGCAGAATCACTGAGCTAAATCCCCGGCCCAGTAGTTGATCGTGATAGATACATAAATTATAACTTCAAAATAATCAATTTTCTTTCCTTTTCTTCATATTTTTAGGGTACCCTTAGAGAGGGATAACTCCGAAGAATTTTTAAAACGAGAAGCAAGGGCAAACCAGTTAGCAGAAGAAATTGAATCAAGCGCTCAGTACAAAGCTCGAGTGGCCCTGGAAAATGATGATAGGAGCGAGGAAGAAAAATATACAGCAGTTCAGAGAAATTCCAGTGAACGTGATGGGCACGGCATAAACACTAGGTATTTAAAGGAAATCATGATGCAGTATTTTGGATACACAACTCAAGGTCTGTGTGAGAAAGTGTATGTTATTATTATTGTTTTATTTCTCTTTAATGAAGCTTAGGTAGAGAATGCAAATGGAATTGGCTTCAGATTCTGTTAAAAGATTATGGTAATCTTGGAAGATACATTTTGAGGCAGCTCTGTGGAGCCAAAATGCTGAGCATATGTGAAGGGCAAGCCAAAGTCCTGGAGAGTTGTTAAAGTATAATTACCAGAGGGGGACATGTCCAATATAGTAAGAGGATAGTGTAATTCTAGATTAAAGATGTGTTCAAAGTACTGGGAACAGGCAGAGTGAGGAAGAATGAGCATCACTTGTGTGATAGAGAAAGCCTCACTGAGGGGGTGGCATTTAGTGATAGGGTAATGGAATCTACCTTCCATTTAGAGGGATCTGGAAGAAGAATTTCTCTCCCAGTGAAGAGACAGTGTGGAGGCATGGCGTTGTGAGAGAATCCACAGATTAGGAAGAGGCTAGTGCCCTGTGTCTAGAACCCAGGGCCTGTGTTGTGGGTGTATAAGAACTGAGGTAGTGGAAGGACTTTGTATTTCCTGCTTAAGAGCACTCTGGGTGGGAGATCTGGGAATGGACCATGGGCCATTGAAGAGTGGTGAGGCAGGGAGTCCTGTTGTGTATTGCAATATTTCAACTATGAGAATGTAGTAACCAGCTGTATTAAGGCTGGTGATAAAAAGGTTAGGAAATCCAGGGCTGCCCCTGAGGTATATTTAATAACTAAATTGATCATAGTTCTGATAATAGAGATAGGGATATAGAACAAGTAAAAGGGGATAAAAGGTGACTCTGTTGGTGTAATTTATTGTATTTGTGGGACTTGTGAATTTTTCACTTATGCATAATCATTGCACTGAGGAACGCCTGCTACAGGTACCTGGTAGAGCAGGAGATGCATCCTGTCTTCAAAACATAGCTTAGAGCCTGGTGATTTGAATTGACATCTGTCTCTTGTACTTTGTGCTTAGGAGAGGAATCTGGGGGAAGGGAAAAGTCAGAGGCTGGAACTCTGGTAAGATCAAAGTGTAGAGGAGTGAAGCTGTTGGTTTTTTTTGTGTTGAATCTTTTTATAACAGACATTTCCATCTGCCTAAATTACTTTTAGATATGTTTCATTAGCTTGGTGCCTTTTAAGAAAAAATGATTTAGAAGATCTCTCATTTTCAGGGAAAATAAATATATTCCTCCTGGACAAAGAAATAGAGAAGTTATATCCTGGGGAAGTGGGAGACAGAATTCACCGCGTATGGGCCAGCCTGGATCCGGCTGCATGCCATCAAGATCCACTTCACACACTGCAGATTTCAACCCGAATTCTGGTTCAGACCAAAGAGTAGTTAATGGAGGCAAGTATTTTGACCAAATTTGTCAATGTCATTGATCAGCTACATAGTTTTCTAATTACTGAAAATATTTTTTACATAATTGACAGGAATGTGAGCACCACTAATGATTTCTGTGGTCCTTATACTTCAAAATTATATAAGATATGCAGATAATCAAATTAGAAAAATATTGTGTATGTCACTGGCATATACAGTATTCAGCATGACAAAAGACTTTTTAGAGATAAGGTGTAAAATTTACCTCAGACAGTGACATAGCCAAAAAAAATTCCACATATAAAGAAATTGGAAACTTTGCATAGGTTCTCAATTTTGAAAACACTGGACAATAAAATAGTTTAGATTATATGTAAAATTCTAATATATGTAAAACAGTAGTTAGTATTTGTTTTCATTACTATTTATATATTTATATTCTGCTTACTTCAAGAAAAGTTTTGAAGCTGGGTATATAATCTCAGCACTCAGGAGGCTGAGGCAGGAGATTGGCCACAAGTTTGAGGCCAGCTTGGACTGCAAAGCATCACCCTGTCTTCACAAGGGGGAGTGGTTGAGTGGTTGTAATATAAGATAAAACCTGCAGTCACGTGAAGAAAATGATGTGAGAAATGTGCTCCAAAGTACAACAAACAACTCTGTCTTGTTACAGTTGAGCAATTTACATAAAAGACACTCGAGTCTTTAATAGGAAGATATTTTATCCTGTGCCTTTAAAACTAGGTCAAATAGTGCTGCTCATGGTTTATTAAATTCTGGGCTGCTGAAGAGCAGAACTGTGAGTGGGAAAATTCAGAAAATTGGAAAGATGAAAATAGAGAATGCTAAGTTTCCAATTTCATTTGCTTTCATTGAATCTTTTCTCCAGAATTCCTCTCCAATGAACACTCTTGAGTATTTTCTGTACTTAATATTAGGGGTGAAATTTCTTTGCTCACTGAGTGAAGATTTTTAGTTCATAAACAGAATTTTCAAAGTAAAAACCTGAAGGGGGCTGGGAAACATGTGTGATACTCAAGTGTGTGAAGCCCTGTGGAGAGGAGGACTGGACTGTTTCCTGAAGTTCGGGTAAGTGACCTGTGTTAGTAGATGGCAGCCTTATCTGACCTGTGCATACACGCATCAGTATCAGTTTTACTTGGTGGTGACTGCTTTGCAGTTGCATTGTTTATTAAGTAGTCTATTAGACGAGTATTTAATTGTATAAATTATTTAGATGGTCCCCGCTTTTCTAGTTTAATGAGATTAATAGATTTGTCTTGAAACAGAAGAGTATTAGCCTTTGTTACTTCTCTGACCCTCGAAAATGGAAATAATGTTTTATTTCTACTGAAATGGAACTTGCTTGATTAGATTGCAAAGTGAACTTTGTGTTCAGATAAAAACCTGATGAAAAATCATATATATGGTTGTAAGAAACCAGCTTTTAAAATTAGTTATATTATTTTCATTATATTTTATAGCTAAAACTAATACAGTAAATAATCTTGACTAGGAATTACTGTGTCTTATTGTGTGAAATTATGTAGTATATGATATATTATATTCCTTGTGACAGTTGTTTACTGAGAAACAATTACAAAAACAGGATTACTTGGCAAAGTCTTAACTGTCTTCTTCAGTAGTATGTGTAGATCCTAATTAACCCTTTGGGAACGTGAGTTCATTTAAACAGACTTAATTTTAAGGAAGTTAAAGTAAAATGTGCATTTATGTCAGTTGAGTTATGCTAAAACTTATCACAAATCAAATGACTGTCCTCAAAGGGTTAAAATGTACAAGAAATCATTTTTGTCATTTTACTTTTTTTCTGTTTACTTTTTTCCCTCATTTTTTTCTTTAGTTTTTATACTTTCCTTCATATCATTTGTTCTGTCAGGTGTTCCCTGGCCATCGCCTTGCCCATCTCCTTCCTCTCGCCCACCTTCTCGCTACCAGTCAGGTCCCAACTCTCTTCCACCTCGGGCAGCCACCCCTACACGGCCGCCCTCCAGGCCCCCCTCGCGGCCATCCAGACCCCCGTCTCACCCCTCTGCTCATGGTTCTCCAGCTCCTGTCTCTACTATGCCTAAACGCATGTCTTCAGAAGGTACAATACCACAATTTGTTCATGTTTTTGTTTGTCTTTGTTCAGCTCCTATGTGAGTTTATAATTATAAAATAGTTTCCTCTTCATTATTTAATAATCTATAATTTCTGTGTTTTAACTTTAGTTTGTTAAAACTATTTCTTATTAACCTTTTGATCATTAGAGAGAAATTTGATAAATGCTATGTGATGCTATGAATTAACCTGAATTGTAAGTAAGGGGGATTACTCTCTCTCTGCCTGGTAATGACGCCCATGTACAGCCCTGGGAGGGTCTCCTCAGGGCCTCTCCCTCCTAACTGATAGTAGATGCAGCAGTTATTGGTGGACAGTGAACGTATCCTCCCAGTATTGGGCCGACTGTAAAATTTGTCATTTTACAGCTTCTTGGCCAATAGGCTAGTGAGCCTTCCTGTTGGTCATAGGCAGAAATAGTGTTTTAAGGATTCTTGTTTGAGTGTGACATTCCATATAGCTGCTTTTGAAGGTCTGCCTTCAGATTACAGCACAGATTGTGTCTTTTAGATTATCTGAGGAGTGCTGGGTGTGGTGGCACATGCCTGTAATCCCAGCACTCGGGGCTGCGGCATATTACAGCACAGATTGTGTCTTTTAGATTATCTGAGGAGTGCTGGGTGTGGTGGCACATGCCTGTAATCCCAGCACTCGGGAGGCTGAGGCAGGAGGATCACTGTGAGTTCGAGACCAGCCTGGGCTACATAGTGAGTTCCAGGTCAGTCTCAACTACATAGTGAGACCCTGTCTCAAAAAACAAAAAAAATAAAAAATAGAGTATCTGAGGAATTCTAAATTTAAGTAGTTTTGAAAAATGAGCTTTACACTGGGCGCACGAGGTGGTGCACACCAATAATCCCAACACTTGGGAGCTGAGACAGGAGGATCAAACCCTTAGAGCTTGAGGTCAGCCTGGGCTTTATAGTGAGTTCAAGACCAGCCTGAACTATATAGTGAGACCATGTCTCAAAAAATAAAAATAAAAATTAGCTTTGCAGTATTGTAGTGAAAGGCTGATTTAATCTGAGAGAAGTCTTTGATCTAAAATAAAATTATTGGGAAAAAAAACAGGTAAAGCTGTGCATGGTGGTATATATGGCTGAGGCTGGAGGGTTGCAAGTTTGAAGCTAGCTTTGGGCAGTACAGTGGCACCTTACCTCCAAAAACATGAATTTGCATCATTGGACTTTTTTTTGGTGCCCTTGTCTAAAACAGGAGTAAAATCACGTAATTTTAATTATTTGTTACTAAACCCATCATTGCTATATATCAGAATACTTGGATGTGGTGTAAGAAGGTAATATTCTAATTTAAATGTAGTGAATAAATTTAAAATACTGTCTTCCTTCTAATGATAATGCTCTTTTCTTATTAGTTCAGAATGTTTGTGTTAAAATTTTAATCAGATTTGTTTGTTAAAATCATAATTGAAATAGCTTTTGTTGACACTAATAAAGTTTTCTTTGGCTGCTGTTAAATAAATTGTTGCCATCCAAGCAGGGAGGTCATATGACCCTGGCTAAAGTGTTTAACATTGAAAAGCATCTTTCACAGATTTTCAAGGTGACTTCTTTCCTCAAAAATTTCTCCTAATATTGCCCACTAAAAGCAAAGTTCTGTTGAAGTATTTAATTATAGTCTATTGTACTACATGATGTTGTGTATTATGAGAATGTGTTAGATGAAGTGCATTCATTCATGAGTTGAGAGCATCCTATGACACTAAAGGTGTAAGGTGTGCTCGTGGACTGGCAGATCTTACAGAAATACAGTTCTGCATAATTCTTGGATTCTGGATAGTTCCACTTGACAGATTGTGCCCTTAGCATTTTTTTTCAAGATTATGTCTGGGATTAAATTCATAGTGGGAACATACATTAATTTAGTGTTCTTGAAGAATCTGATCTTACAATATGGGTAAAGAGCCTTGCCTATGACACTAAGGATGTTTTCTGTGTATTTAGCCCTGTCTGTGGTGAGAGCAGTCTGAGTAGTGTTTTCTCTTGACATTGGGTCTAATGCACATTAGATAGCGTGAAAGAGAAAGAAATCACTAATGGGGTGACAGAATCTGATGTTGAAATTTTGGCAATCATATAGTTCACGTTTCCTCCCTGAGTGTCAGCTGATCTGGTCTTAAAAGCCATGCTTTAACAGAATTGTCAGCTTATGGCATAGTAGAAAACTGCTTATAGTTGAGGACACTTTTAAGCCATGAGTTGTAAAGTTGATGATCATGGCAGTTAGATAAACTTAACATTTAGAAAATTTTAAGAAGGTATATGGATCTATTTCATTAGTTTAGGGATCAGTAGTCTTTTGTTTGAAAATATTTTGTTCTTGGGAATATAGTTCAGTGGTAGAGCACTTGCCAAAGTAAGGCCTTGTGTTTGATACCTGGGCCTGTAAAAAAACAAAGAAATAAAAAATACATTTTTTTCTTACTCAGAATGCTGAAGGTAGGAAAAATTGTAAGTTGGAGGCCAGCCTGGTAACTTAGCAAAACCCTGTCTCAAAATAAAAAGGGCTAGGGATGTAGCTCAGTGGTAGATTACTTGCTTAGCATATGCAGGGCCCTGAGTTCTACACCCACTACCACAAAAGATAAAAGGGGGGAATATATATCTATTAGCTATATAGGTACATGTATATATGAGAAATATGAAGTAATATATTTTAGAAAATTTGAGGCAAAGGTAAAAGTACTTGGTAAAGTAAAAATTATTCCATTAAGTAGCTATAACATCCATTAATATTTTATTATATTTATTTTTATATGCCTGCAAATAATGGATACAGACTACACAGACTGCTAAATTCTTTTATTTTATTTTATTTTTTTGGTACCGGGGATTGAACTCTGGCTAAATCCTGGTCTAAATTCTTTTAAAGTTATATCTTGCTGTTTGATTTCTTACCACCAGCTTCATCCCTCCCTTTCTTAAAAATAAAGGGATGTAAAATTTATTAACTTGTAGAACTCCACAAAATGATTCTGAGTTACATATGGCTGAATATATGTATGTTCTGGAATTTTTCCCCCCTTTTCTTTCATTATTTTAACCAAGGAGAAACTGTTGAGTGAGTGAGAAAGAGAATGTGCGTATTTGGCAAAAAAGTAGTAGTGATGGTCATTGTAGCATTTATGTGATGTTTACTGTTCCTTTCTTAGGGCCTCCAAGGATGTCCCCAAAAGCCCAGCGGCACCCTCGAAATCACAGAGTCTCTGCTGGGAGGGGTTCCATATCCAGTGGTCTAGAGTTTGTATCCCCCAACCCACCAAGTGAAGCAACTACTCCTCCAGTGGCAAGGACCAGTCCCGCAGGGGGAACATGGTCATCAGTGGTCAGTGGGGGTAGGTATCATTTGGCTTTCGGCATAGGAGCAGAGTTCATTTTTTAATTTCCTCTAATATAAAGTGGGCTGAGCTATTGCTCTGTTTGAGGAATTATAAGTGTATATTTTAAAAGTAGTGGATTAGCCAGGAATTGGGGAGGTTACATTTTTTATTCTGGGCTACTCCACTTATTTATCATATGTTAGGAGAAGTCATGCAAGCATCTGAATTTCGGGTTTCTCAGTGAGTAAAGTCATTCTAACTTAGTATACTTCATGGGCTTGTGATCCCATAAGTGTGAGGTCTATAATTTAGTTGGTAGTTATAAGAAATAATATAACACAAGGCAAATACAGTTTCTTATATCTCTCATCTTTTTAGCAACTTTGCTCATTGATTCATCCACAAACATTTATTTTGGGCTGTAGTGTGGTATGTTTTCATGGTGTCTGTATAAGGCACTAACACCCACCCAGCTATTTATTTCCCTTATAAGAAATGTCAAACACAAGTGAGAGGCCCAACTTTAATCTGTGATTAGCCTGGGAAATGTGCTGATAGTCAGCAGTTACAAAAAAATTTAAAAATTACATTTTGACAAGATTTTTTACAGTTCAGCTGAGATTGCTTTGGCTACTTTGTCAGTCAATCTTTAATGCTTGGTTCCTGTGGTAACTGGAGAGCTAGAATATGCAATGATTGCTTTTCTTTTTTAGTGTTAATCTATCTTACTCTGTCATAGAAACTTTAACAGAAAAAGGTCTTCAAATCTTAAACATAACACCCAGTGCTGTTAATGTCTGGTTTTGTTACTGGGAATCAAACAGAGGGCGTTGCACTTGCCAGGCAGGCGCTATGCAGCTGAGCCACATCCCTGGCACCTGTTAGTGTCTGTTTTTATTTCGCATCCATTACCAGGTATGGAGGCACACAACCTGAGTTCACAGTCAGCCTGAACTACATAACAAGAGTCTATCTCAAAAAAGGAAAGTAATTTGCTGAGCTTTGTGAGGTAAAACACTCACATAATTGTACTGTAAATTCCTTTGTTGGTCTTCAATGAAGATTAACAAGAAAGTAGAAATTTTAAAAATGTTTTGCTGCAGTAGTAATCCTTTGTGCCAGGGATTTGGCTCAGTGGTTCTGCTGCCTGCCTCACAAGCGCAAGGTCCTGAATTCAATGCCCAGTACCAAAAAAAACAAAAGTAATCCTTTGACATTACTCAGATGGTCTGGAAATGAACTTTGAGAACAGTATCATTACAAGCAAGAGAATAAAAACATAATGGTTATAAAAAACAAATACATTGCTAGAGATCCACCAAGGATATTCTGTCTGGGGTGCTGTAATTCCAGCACTCGGGAGGCTGCGGCAGGAAGATTGCTGTAGGTTTGAAGTCAGTTTAGACTATTTAGTGAGACCCTGCCTCAAATCCCCTCCTATAAAAAAAAAGAATAGCATTACAAGTTTGTTCTTTATACTGACTAGGGAGAAATGACAGATGAATAATAATTTCCTTCCATTGTTCTTGTATCTTAAAATAACTACGAAATAGACTGAAATAAGTTGAACCATTTTCGATAAACCTTGAATCTGAGCTCTACAAATTAGCTTACAATGGAATATGAATTCTGTTAGATACTTATTTTGAAATCACATGTAATAGCAACCATTTTGTACTATTTTCCTGCATTATCAAGAACTTTTTGCTAAATTGGGTCCTGATTTCCTTAGTTTACTGTGCAGTGAATCTTGATGTTGAAAGAAGGAGCACAAACCAGGTGTGGAGGCACATGCCTATAATCCGAACAGTCAAAAAGTGAAGCAGGAGGATCGCTGTGACTTCAAGGCTAGCCTGGGCTACATAGTGAGTTTAGGACCAGCCTAAACTAGATAGCCAGACCTTGTCTTTTAAAAATTAAAAAGAAAGAGCACATAGGATGGTCTATAAACTGCAGTCTGTTAGTGTATTAATAGAAAAAGAAAGGAGTAATCTTAACATTTTAGGGATCTCTTCTACCTTTGGTGGAGGGGGTTCTGGTGATCGAATTCAGGCCCTTGTGTTTGCGAGGCAGGTGGTGGAACCACTGAGCCAAATCTCCAGACCTCTTCTAGCTTTTTAAAAGAAATAATTAACTTTTTAGTACAAAATGTCTTTGTCTTTTCCTTTTTCTTTTGGTACCAGGGATCAAACTCAGGCCCTTAGGTTTGCAAGGCAGGCAGCGGAACCACTGAGCTAAATCCCCAGCCCAAAATGATCACCTTGTATTCTTTGTTTTGTTTTGTTTTGTTTTGCTTTTGTACTGGGGATCGAACTCAGGACCTTGCACATGCGAGGCAGGCAGTAGAACCACTGAGCTAAATCCCTGGCCGTGTCTTTATCTTTTTTTTTTAAATGGCATTTAATTTGTCACAGAGATCTAATATTCAACATCACTTAAAATACTCTATACAATGTGAAGCCAAGTGTGGTGGTGCATACCTATGATCTCAGCACTCAAGAAGCTGAGGCAGAACGATTGAGTTCAAGGCCAGCCTGAATTACTACCTAGGTGAGACCCTCCTTGTCTCAAAATGCCCTCACCCAATAAATAAATAAAGTTAATACGATTACTTAGGAGGGAAAATTAAAATTGTCTGGAGGTGTTTAGTAATTGATGTCTTTTTCAGATACTTATGTTCTCAATTACTACCACTGTTCATAAGATTTGAAAAAGAAAACAGGGTCATGGGATAAAAGTTTACCTAGGTCTTTAGAGAAGCCTCTTTGAGGAAGTGACATTTGAGCCAAGAATGTAATCAGTAATGTTTCTCTTACTTCTAGTTCCAAGATTATCTCCCAAAACTCATAGACCTCGGTCTCCCAGACAGAACAGTATTGGAAGTACTGCCAGTGGGTCAGTTCTTGCTTCTCCCCAAGCTGGTATTATTCCGGCTGAAGCTGTTGCCATGCCTATTCCAGCTGCATCTCCTACACCTGCAAGTCCTGCATCCAACAGAGCTGTGACCCCGTCTATTGAGGGTACGTGAGAGAAGGATTCTAGAGGTTTACGTGATAACAAAAATTTCTTTTATTCTTAGATATGTATTTTGAATGCATAGATACATTTTTGTGTAAATTAAGTTAGTTGCTTACACAATATCATTGATTTCTTATATATTATTCTTTGTTTGTTTGTTTGTTAAGACAGGGTCTTGCTATGTAGTTGAAACTGACCTGGAACTCACTGTGTAGTCCAGGCTGGTCTCGAACTCACAGCGATCCTCCTTCCTCAGCCTCCCGAGTGCTGGGATTACAGGCGTGTGCCACCATGCCCAGCTCCTATATTATTCTTTAATATCTGGTATTATGAAAGTTAAATTTCCCTGGCCACTAAATACCTATAATAATATAATTAGTAGTATTTCATAGGTTGCCTGCAAAGGAGAAAAGCCTATTAAGTTTTTCTAAAAAGATAGGAAATAAAAATTGCTGGCTTTTTTTCTCTTCACTTTACTTTCTAACAATCTCATTATGATTTTTTTTCTTTTCTAGCTAAAGAGTCCAGACTTCAGGATCAGAGGCAGAATTCTCCTGCAGGGAATAAAGAAAATATTAAACCCAGTGAGACATCACCTCCCTTCTCAAAAGCTGAAAATAAAGGTTAGAATTTTAAAAATTCAGACATAACTGTAGAAATGGGAAGGAATATGTCTAATTTTGTGCTCTACACAGAATATTTTTGTTCAGTTTTTCCTGGTGTTTTGTGTATGTAAACATATAGTTTGATAAACCCTACTATGCAAAATTAATACTTGACATTGTTATACTTTTGATGGTAGCGCTTATTGTCATTTCTAACATCTTATACTAAAAGAATTTTTAAGTTTTATATCTAATGATTCTTGGTTTTACAGGTATATCACCAGTTGTTTCTGAACATAGAAAACAGATTGATGATTTAAAGAAATTTAAGAATGATTTTAGGGTAAGTGTTATATTGACTAATGAATGAATTAGAATTTTTAAAAATAAGTGACAAGCTGAGTACAGCTAGCTATTCAGGAGGCTGAAGCAGGAGAATCATGAGTTAAAGGCCAGCCTGGGTGACTTATTAAGACTCTGTGTTGGAATTTAAATATACAGGATCAGGAAATGTAGCTCAGTGTCCAAGGGCCCCTGTGTTCAATCTCCAGTACAACAAAAGAATAATGAAAAACAAAAAAATAAATGTAACATGGCTGAGATTTAGCTCATTGGTACCACCACCTGCCTTACAAGTGCAAGGTCCAGAGTTCCATCCCTGGTACCCCCCCCCCCAAAAAGTAATAAATCATTAACCATTTTTAGATCATCAGTTTATAACGGTGCATTATGCAAATACTCAAAAATATCAAAGATTGGCTGGGTGTGGTGGCACATGCCTGTAATTCCAGCACTCGGGAGGCTGAGCCAGGAAGATCGCTGTGAGTTCAAGATCAGCCTGGGCTACATAGTGAGTTCCAGGTGAGTCTCAACTACATAGTGAGACCCTGTCTCAACAAACCAAAAACAAAAACAAACAAACAAAAAAAAAGACAAAGATTGTGAGATTTGGTAAGAACTATACAGGTATCATATAGCTGGGCATGGTAGCATACGCCTATAGTCCCAGCACTCTGAGAGGCTGAGGAAGGTGGATCCTGCAAGTTCAAGACCAGATTACACTACAAAGGGAGACCTGTCTCAGAAAAAAAGAAGGTATAATCTTGACATTTGAAGCCATGATAAAACATAACTTATGCTTTGGTGCTCATTTGATTACCTTGATTAGTCTGGCCAAAATTTGGTAAAGTAAGGCCAAGTTGTTAATTGTCTGGTGTGGGCTATACTAGAGCTTGGTGTTCTGAGGAAATTTCCACTTTGTGAATAAATGTATTAATTGTGGTAGAAATCTTTCATGTATTTATCTTTTGCAGTGCTGGAGATCAAACCAAGCATTCTAGGCAAGTGCCGTACATTGAACTATGTCTGTAGCCCCTCTGGCAAAAATCTTGGTATAATATTTCTCTATTTTACCACAGGCTTTTCTGAACATACCTTGAACTCTGCTTGTTCACTATTTCATTCTTTTTCATGAAATGTATTATACTATAGATATCAAGGTCGATTGTGAGACTAATTCAAGAAATCTTTTGGGATAGGGATTTATCTCTCAGTGGTAGAGTACTTACCTAGCAATGTGAAGGGCCTGGTTTTGATTCCCAGCAAAAAAAAAAAAAAAAAAAAAATCTTGAAACTTACCTCATTAGAGGAGGGAGACAGATACGATTATCAGCCTTAAAAATAAATGAATGGATTAAAAGATGAATGAATCAGAGGCATGAAACAGTATTTTCTCAGCCTATGTTCTAGGTCTCTACATTTTTTTCTAGCATTTGTTAATTCTTTTTTCTAATCATTTCATTCTTACTGACAAAATCCAGTAATGTATAACAACATTATTTCATACTTTATCATATCTATTCAGCTTCAGTGTTGTTAGTAGTTGTTAATTTAAATCTTAATTTGGTAAGCAGTGATTAATACAGACAATGCAAAGAATAATAAGTAAGTGGCCATATGCCCACTACTCAGCTTAGTAAGTCGAGCCTTTCAGCATAAGATTTGTGTACTTGCCCTGCTCATCTGCTTCCTTCTTCTCCCTTCCTTGGGGAAGCTTTCTTTTCTGTGCAGTTCTTTCTACTCAACTGCATATTAAAAGCTCCCTAATAGATCATACTGTTGTGCATAATTTTATACTTGTTATAAATGATGTTATGCTATAGATACTCTTGCCCATTTTAATTTTTTTCTTCAGCATTATTTGTTTTGTAACCGTTTAGTGCCTGTTTATAGTACACTGGCATCAATTTTTTTGAGGGAGTACCAGGGCTTGAACTCAGAACCTTGCACTTGCGAGGCAGGTGGCAGAACCACTGAGCTAAATCCCTGGCCCTGGCATTAAATGTTAAGAAAGATTTTTACATTGTAGCATTGAGTATTTTTGTACCAGCTTTATTAAGATATAACGTAGGTATCATATAATTCAACCCTTTAAAGTAGGCAATTAAGTGATTTTTAGTGTATTTGCAGTGTTGTGTACAGCTATCACCATAGCTGATTTCAGGATATATTCATCATGTTCTAAAAGAAACCCAATACACCCTTAATAGTTACTATTTGTCTTTGTGCCCCCCCACATTTGGTACCAGGGATCAAACTCAGGTCCTTCTGGGCAGCAGAACCACTGAGCTAAATCCCCAGCCCTGCCTTTGCCCCTTTCTACTTCCCCTGCCTGCAACCACAATCTGATTTCTGTCTCTATTGATTTGTGTATTCCAGTCATTACATGTAAATGGAATCATGCAACATGTGGCCTTTTATGTCTGCCTCTTTCACATAGCAATGTTTTTCCAAGGTTTGTCTGTACTGGTTTATGCTATTTCATTCCAGTTTTTGGCTGAATACTTTCCTACTTCTGAGTAATGCCACATTTTGTCTATTCATCAGTTGGTCCCTGAGTTATTCTCATAATATTTTAGAATTGTAAAGTTTGTCCAAACATTAGTGTCCAGTTTTTATGTGTGGACATAGGTTTTTTTTGTTGTTGTTGTTGTTGGGTTTTTTTTTTGTATCAGGTATCAAACTTGAGTCCTCGTGCTTACAAGGTAGGCAGCGGTACCACTGAGCTAAATCCCCGGCCTGGGCATAATGTTTTAATTTCTCTTGTATATGTACCTTCCAGTGGAATTTTTAGGTCATGTGGTAATTCTTGTGTTAAACCTTTTGAGGAACAGCAAAGTGTTTTGCTAGGGAAACTGTTTTACATTCCTTCCCAGCAGTTTATGAGGATTTTTATTTCTTTACTTCCTGGCCGGCTTTTTTTTTTTTTTTTTATTTCAAATTTTTTCTTTTCTTTTCTTTTGGTACTGGGGATTGGACTTGGGACCTTGCACTTGCAAGGCAGGCAGAGGCACTGCTGAGCTAAATCTCCAGCCCAAGAACCCGGTTTGTTATGGACCACTTCCATTCTTTACTTGAAATATAATCAAATCAATAAAACTATTTCATTTCCACATCAAATACAAGTTAGTGAAAGAAGTCCTCAAAGTAGCACTGTGTATGAGCTACAATAGTACCTTAACTATTTTAATATTATGAGTCTAGATTTTCCAGGATGTAAACAGCACTAGATTGGTCTTTTACCAACACATGAAAACAGTGTACCATCAGCAGGTACATGAATTGTAGTCGGTAATTTAAAAACAAAACAAAACAAAAAACTCATGGCTGGGCGTGGTGGAGCAGGCCTGTAATCCCAGCACTCGGGAGGCTGAGACAGGAAGATTGGTGTGAGTTTGAGACCAACCTGGGCTACATACAAAGTGAGTTCCAGGTCAGTCTCAACTACATAGTGAAACCTTGTCTCAAAAAACAAACAAACAAAAACCAAAAACAACTCTTAATCCATATTTGATAGAGGAGATTATTTTTGAGTTGCACATCCCTTTCAAAACCTGTATCATGTGAAAAGTTCAGAAATTCTTTGTAAAATCACACACAGGAATGGATGGATGGATTAATTGATTGATTGATTGATTTATATTTTTAAAAATTATTTAGGTACCCGGGATCAAACTCAGGACCTTGCACTTGGGAGGCAGGCGGTAGTATGCATTGTAAATTTAGCAAAATTCTTTTAGGTGTACAGCATAAATACTCTAGGTTTAGGTTACTGAGAAAAACAAATACCAAATAAATTCTTCAAGATGGATGTTTTCTTCTGAGTTATTAAAAACCAGCCCTTAAATTGGGTGTAGTGGCACATGCCTGTAATCCCAGCACTCGGGAGGCTGAGGCAGGAGGATCGCTGTGAGTTCAAGACCAGCCTGGGCTACATAGTGAGTTCCAGGTCAGTCTCAACTACATAGTAAGACCCTGTCTCAAAAAACCAAAAATAAATAAATGAATAAATAAATAAACAAACCAGCCCTTGGTCTTAGATGCATTCCACTTAGGTAAGTGCATAGAAATCCCATAGTATAAGAAACAGGAACCACCTCAGTGCACTATAATAATGTTTATAGTATCTCATATTTTGAATTCAAAGGTTTGCATACTTCGAAAAGAAAATTAGTTAAAAGTGAAATTTTAAAAGATCTTGTGCACTGTTTTCCAATACTGAAAAGGTCTCTGGAGACCAACATAGTAAAAAGTTCTACAAGCTACATGATGGATCTTCTTTAAAATGGCATATGATTTCAATATAGCTAGTGGGGTTTCACTAACCCAGTTTTATTAGAAAAGCTGATAAACTAAGGAAGGTTAAACCTAAATTCCCAATTATAAGTGAAAACAAAAATAACCACCAACCAAAACTGCCCACACGATACAACCTTAATACAAAGTGAGGATATAACACTCCTGCTGCATGGAATTATTATATTTCTCATGGTTGCTCTCTTCCATGCAGAAAGTAGAGACCATCTTTTTTTTTTTTCTCCCAGTACTACACTGAGAATTGAACCCACTGACTTTGCACTGAGCTTTACCCCCAGCCCTTAAGTGTGTGGTTTTGGTTTTTGTTTTGGGTACTGGGGATCAAACTCAAGTCCTTGTGCTTGCGAGGCAGGGTGGAACCACTGAGCCAAATCCCTGGCCCCAGTTAAATGTTTATAAAGCATTCACTTCTGCAGCTATATGCTGACTTCTGAAAATAACATTTTTAAACATAATCTTTTTGCTTCATAAAAGTAGCCTACGTACATATAGTTGAAACAGTCTTTTCTTGTTTGGAAAGTTTTCTATGGACAGTAATTAAAAAACCTCAACAAATGCTTCCCCAGCCCATATGTTTATGATATTTCTGATGGCAAAGTAAAATTATAAAAACAAAGTAATGATAACAAAATTAATATAAAATAGCCACCTGCTCCTAAATGTGGGGGGGCACCCTGTTTTTGAATT